TTCGTATTGCAATTTGCTCGTTGATACGGATTTGCATATAAAAACCTCTAAACGTCTCTGTACATAATCTGATTCATTTGTAAAGATAATTTATATGGATTATGTTTAAACTGTTTTATTACGGTCGTATATATCTAGAGAACTTTTCTTAATATCTATTTATCTGTATGTATACCTATGATGTAGTGCTGTAATGAAGATATTTCGGAGCGTCATGTACTTCATTTAATAACAGCGGCTGTATCGATATCATTATTTCATCAAGGACCGCATCAACCGAACACAGCCGACGCATTATATTAAATCATATTACGTTTTACATTTGTAAATGGTATTTATGGTGGCGCCATTTATATTTTATTGGAGAGCTTCATATGTGTGCGCTATAAACATTTATATAGACTTTATTTATTTTTATTATCTTTAAGTACGCAATCAAGGTTTAGTATGACATGTGATAGTGGGTAGAAATATTTTGAGGATGCAAAATAAGAAGTTATTCAGTAGAAATTTTCGTTTAACAGGATGTAGTAGGTAGGGATATAGAACGATAGAATTCGGCAAATGCGTATGTTTTTTGTGACAATGCATTGACATACGATATGCAGCCGCGTATGATGTACGGTCTTGTTCGTCCTCATTAAATTACCGAAATCGATGGACTATTGAATTGAATATGTATTGCGGTTCGGAGAACGGAGTTACGACTTTGTTTACTAAATCTATTAATTGATATATTGATAGTGATTGATCGTTTCAAGATGAATCGGCAGTGACTTCCTTATTCTCTAATTTTGTAACATAAAAACGCTATGCTTTTAAAAATTAAACATATAAAACCTCCGTGAAAGGTAACGAAAAAAAAAATGTATTTTTTTTTAAATTATTAACTTCTAATAAGCCGAACGAATTCAGCTTCAAGCCAAATATATTCTTGGAATGGCGTGTTTATAAAGAGGTCAGCGGATGACATCGCGAAATGGAATGTCGGTTTGAGTGAGGCTTTTAACGTACAGAAGTGTTAATGTTTACGTAACACAAACAAGCGAGCGGAATTGATACCGCGGGGACTTGGCACTTTATTTAGAGACATTTTTATTGTTCTTTTTTTTTTTTTTAAATAGACAGCGACTGCCCGATTTTAATTCTTATGCCAATAAACTTTTTTAATTTAATTCTTGTTAAACGAATTGCTTGGTGCGGATAGAATAATTTTAAATACTTACATATGGTACAGTGATTTCTTTTAATTAATTAAATGGACTTGTATTTCGTTAATATTTCTTTTAATGTTCGATTTTTATTTTGTTGTAATAAAACCGCGCGAGTTGTTTCGATTCACCAATAGATGGCGTTAACGGTCCTATTTTCAAAAAAGATCACTTGTGCTTTTCTTGTTTGTCTTTAATTTCAATTTCCAATATTATCGAATATAATTCTATATGGTCGTCATAGTTTATGGATATGCGTTATTTGTATGTCACTGTAATTTTTATACAATAATTAAACGCTGTTAGACATTTTAGACACACATAGATGACATTTTTATGAATTGTTCAAATTAAAAGAGAAAAAAATATACGAGAGGAACTATTTTTTTTTGTATATAAAAAGAGGCTGAGTACGATTAAACAACAATCGTGAAACAGCCGTCAAAGAAGATCCGGAAACATTTTCCATTTGGGAATCGGTTAAAAAACAAATGTTCGCATTTCATTTATACTACAAAGTAACAGTACACTTAATACCCTTTCTGTTCTGAATTAATACCGGCATAAGGAAAAAAGGGGCTAAGAGCAGCAACAAAAGCCTTCAAACTATTAAAACAAACTTAGTCTTAAGTACAATTACTGAACATAGACAAGCCAGCGACAGAGGCTGAACAATTTTTGCATAAAGCGTTTTTACGCTCGCTTCCAATTTCCAATGCATTAACGCATTTAAATGTGGAACAGGAATCCATAAAGACGGTGGCGCTGCACCCGCCACCCGCAATTACAAGTAACATCAAACTATCGTAGACCAATTATACTGATCCCTCTTAGAGAACAAAGAGTTCCGTGTTAGGGGTCCTCGTAGATCTGTTATAATAATGTGCCGGTGATTTTATACTTGAGTGATGATGCTTTAAGCGGCCCCGGTAAAAGGCTTTTTATAGTTTTATACCTTCATTCAGTAGACGGCTGTGGTATAGTCGAGTGCGGTTCTATTAATATGTTTGTTGTTCATCTGGACCGGTGCGAGCGTCTCCCGCCTAACTCAATATACGTAGCTGATACCGCGACGACCTCAACCGCTCCATTTTGTGTTTGCGTGTTTGTGTTCTAGTGTCGCTACTAGCGAGGGTTATTCTATCTCGTACCTAGGTACCTACTCACTTATTAAAAAAAAACACATTTACTTATTAAACACTTGTTACGTAAAGCTTTTTATTTTCCGCCTGACGGAGATCTAAACAGTTTCCCGTTTTGAATACGAAGATAAAAGTAATGGTTGTTCAGCGGTGACTTTATTTTTTACGTATTAAAATTTAACGCATCAATTAGATGGCGTTTCGTTTAATTGCTTCGTATACGTTGCGTGTTTATCTGGCTTGTCATAAATTTGTCTTTATTTCCTATACGTTTTATCGGATGCTGGCCGTCATCAATCAAAGGACCGCTATTGAGAGACTGCTCGTAATACGTAAGCTAATGGTATGCAACACACGCGAACATAATACTTCTTAACCATTTGATGATTTCATATATAAGTGACCTTAAAATGTTTTTTCTTTGAAACCTATACAAATTACTTAAAGTATCCGATGTGCTCGATGGTCGATGGAAATTGATCTGTTTGTTGGAGGTTACTATAATAATGATAATTAAAAATTTAATGCTTTTACGAAAGACGTAGCTACAAATTATTATTCCAACTAGAATAGATTAAACGTTAATCGTTATATAGGGAAATATTAGATATTTTTACGATTTTATAAACAAAACAATTACTTTTATTGCTTGAATAATAATGAAAGAAGGTCTTATATATTATGACAGGCACAAAATAAAATATATTTTTAAAAACCGAACACATAGCTTAGAGTTTATTTATTTAGCGTGATCTCATTGCCTATCGTATATTCTTTTGATCAATAACATCCCTTGAAAGTTTTAAGGTACGACATCAAACATTCCACGTCCCATGGGCGGGGGTGTAATTGATTGGTGTATTGAACGCATGTCCATGTAGAGCACATAAAGCTATTATGAAAAATAGTGCAAAAATAATCCATACTTTATGTACAGATAGTGAAAAATGAAGCTTTGAATGCTAGCGGATATAACTTAAATGTATGGTACGCTTGACGAGGACATTTTGCTTTATTACAGATAACTTCGCCTTGAGATAAACATTATTAACTGTTATCAGTAATGGATACCTTTCAGTGTGCAATCGACTAGCGGATACATGTTCGAACAATAAATTAACAAAGTTGTGTATGTTTCTCTACTTCGCCTCTCAACATCGGGTAATGTAATTAGTATATTGAAACCATACTAGGTCATTCGGCCTCTTTATTCGTCCGTACGTGACGGTAAAGACTTGGACATAACATTTTAACGGCACGTGTTAAAAAAAAATATGCTCAAATTTAAAAGTATTGGGAGTCGAAATAAACAAATACGGAAACAGAGCCAGCTGTCTAACGACGTGGCATTATTTATAACCGTAATTATCTGACGCTTGTTAGTTTAGTAAAAATACCCCTAATCATATAGAAATTTAGTTAGTTTTTACGCCAATTCGGAGAAGATTTTTTTTATCAAACATCAGATTGAGTATCAAATGATAATAAACTCAAGGCAGGTTGTTATTGGGTCGTTATTATGATATATGCTATCTGTATCAACAAATGTTTGGGTTGAGGTGTTTTTATTCTATATAATTAGTGTACGGACACCTCTGAATGATGACCGCTGGCGCCGAAGGCTGTCTTCGAGTTGCTAACGATACCATCCTTTTATAATGTGATGTAAACTGTTCTATACATTAGCATATTTTATTATTAAACAAATATTAATAGTTGTTTACGAACCTCACGTATAAATTACAATACATTGAATACAATAAATAATATTATTAAAACAAATAATGTCGTTAATACAGCGAGTAGCGACCTAACAAAGAGATCTGACAGTTCTAAATCAGTCCCGTACTGACATTTACATCGCATTTTAAAAATGCATTTAAAACAGAGCATAATGTCGCGTAATAAAGGTATCGTGATTTATTAGTATTTTATTTACATTTGTATTGTGGACTGTATCTATAATTATGACATAGATATCATATTTAGAATAGATAAATCATTACGCAGTGCATAACGATACGAGTTTTCAATTTGTTACATAATTAATTATACCGTTTATGTATCTGTTCCCGGTGTCATAAGTGAATTGTTGATAACACTCGACATTGTTATGAAGTTGCGTACTTTGTTTAGCTATAATAAAATAATGTAACTAATAATTAATATTAAATTGTTTGTAGACTCTGAAGTAGGAGAGCGTTCTACCTACCGGTGGGTCGAAATTGGAAAAAGGCTCGACCATAAATAATAGAATCATTAACATCTGCCGCTATGATTCCACCATAAAAGTTTTTTTGGCGTTTTAAAAAATTATACAAGCGATGCTCGCTCAATGGTAGTTAGGGGCGTCATCGGAAAAATACGTGTTTTGACGGTTATTTTGTTACGATGTTTTTAATTTACTTTTTAGTACGGTTTCGATTGCATGCAAGTTAATTAGGATTCTCGGCAAACAGGACACGGAAATGGTTATTTTTTCGGGTTTTTTGAGGCTCTGTTCTGTTGTTTAACTCATAGACATTTCTCTGAATTTAACTATGTATGTATGTATAATTTATCATACATTTTTTACGACCCCCTCGCGGGTCGTTTAAGTTATGGTAACAGGTAATTCGGCAATGTAATAAATGAAATGTCTACTAACCAAATGGTCTGAGTGGGGATCTCTGGGCGCACTAGCTGATGGATTGGGCCACAGCAACTTTGACAACATCCGTTGACTTTGGCTATAGATGAGCTCCTACGAAGGAGAAAAATGAATAACTTTAGTATGCTAAGAACAAAGGCGCACAGCCTGTCTTGAATATCGGATGTCCTAAGCGTTAAAGTCCACGCCGCATAAATAAAGGATAAAAAAAATACCACTAGAAGTCATCTTTCTCAGAAAACGCTAATATTCAACGTTATTTGCATTGATTTATAAGTCTCATTTATGTTTTATGGTTTTATTTGTTTATAGGTGGTAATGGAAAAAATCGTTCGTCTATCACACGGGCCTCTACCTAATTATTAACTAGCAACAGTCTCATGTAATCTTTATTTGATGCATGATCCAACGCAATCATATTAAAGGTCGTGTTGATACAAATAAGGGAATTAACACGTAAAGTAATTAACATCGCATTGCGGTAATTATATAGTTCTAAGAAAACGTTTACTTGAATCCGTTCTGATACACGACTTATAAGGTGTACATTCGTTATTGTAATTAATAAACCTACACCAGAAGAATGTCGTATAACGTCTCTATAGAACTTAGTTTTTGTATGTATCAACGGTAACCCTTCATCATCATACACACCAAGTTCTCGGTGGACGTAAAAAACAAATTCCTATTATTCTAAGTCTGAGATAATGAAATAATAGTACATTTTTTCATTTCGATTCGATTCTATGTATGCAAGTGATGAAACTTTAGGTTTTTGCAATTAAATGTGGCGACAGAAATTGCAATTGAGAAAAAAGTTTTATGTATATTTGGATGTTGGTTTAGATTGTAATAAAAGGATGTTATAATAATGACATAAATTGGAGGATTTGTTATCGATGAATGATATGTGGAATTATCCGGGTGTATAAGTTTTACGAGATCGGAGACTGGGATACGCAGGAGTTGAGAACAATTGGTTCACAAGCGAAGATACCTTTAAACATTTCGATATACCTTCAAATTCTTACTTTGATTTTCCTCGTTATAAATACATAATAAAAAAAGCAAAAGCACAAAATACAGCACTAGTAACACTTAAAAGCTTGATGTACTAACAAGAAACAAACACTTTAATATTATTAAGACAATCAAAGTGTAACAAAGGGGCTACGGACTCGTGTGGAGGGTATAACAAAAGATAAAACCGAACCTCGCGTCCTTACCTCTGAATTAAAAAAAATAACGACACGTAATAATAGGTTGAGCAAATTCTCGCCTGCAAAACAAATACTGACCGTGAAGAGCATCAGTGGGCTGAGAGCGAGAATTAGTTTAATAAGTCTGCTTTGGGATGATTTATGGACGTTCGCTCGGTCCGATACACGGCCTCATGTTATTTTTAACTAAAAATTGACGTTTACGATAAACACTCATTACTAAGCGCCAGTCGTTTTTTGTATATTTTTTTTTATTTACCTTTATGGATTCTTCACTTTTTTTGATATTCGATTATGTAACTCATGTTGTTTGTTTAAGATTATGAACATTAAGATAATCATTATATTTGATTACACAAATACATGATTTCAAAACATATAAATTATGTTTACACAAATGATTATATTACAAAAGTTCGCCAAAATTTTATTGTAAAATAAGACAAATATAACAAACAGCTTATAATATTTTATTGAAATCAATTTCATTGTAAAAGGAAATAAATCGTAAAAAGGTAAGATAATGATGGGTTAAGAGGAGTTCTCGCCTGGAAAACAAACAACAGCAGAGTAGAAACGAACAGAGCTCTCCATTATTATAATTAGAGTTATGATATTATGAAATAAATAAAATCGATACTAAAACATATTGAAATAAATTCATCGTTATTTTTTTTTGTTTACATTACTATTTTTTTTTATGTAAGTATGTTAATTGTTTTCAATGTATAATTATTTAGTATGAAGTAATTTATTGTTATATATTTTTAATAAGTAAAAGATCTAAATCTTTCCTAATCTACGTTGCCTGGAGGCGTCAGTTGCTGTACTCAATAATCGATATTTATCATACAACAGCTGTCAGCGGTGACTGTTATATCTCTTTCAATATTACAGGCTGTTGGTTTGTTATTTTGGTTTTTGCATAATAACAACATATAACAATATTTAATATATTCATGTATACTTCGGCACTAAACTTCCAACTATTGGTACGATGTAGTGTTATTAAGTGATAATAAAATTAATTTTCATTAAATTATTTCTCTATATATATATACTTAAAATCTTATAGTGAATACGTCGGATAATGTTTATAGTGTGTTTGTATCCTTCACTAGTAGGTACCAATGGAATACAAGAAATGTATTTTTTTTTCTGTCGTATGATTAAATCAAACAGATCATTATCTAAGCTGTTTTAAGAAGTATAAGGAGTATTTATTGCCGGTTGACTTTGACAGGGAAGGCTAGGTATTGCTCTATAGTAGCTCATTAATTCAATAATTCATATTTTATGAACGTCGATGACATACCCGCACTATGTTCTTAGGAGAGCCAGACTTGTTATTAAGAGAAATAATGTTATGTCAAGAACTTAATCAGCTCCGGATCGAGTTGAGTGTGTAATTAGTAGTTGGACGAAATATTACGGACGCGCCCGCGCAGCCGACACGCCTCCACGACGCCGGAGGGCCAGCGAGACTTGGACGATGTAACAGAACGACAAACGCATATCATCAACTAATAGAGTCTTTTTATTGTCCGCTACATCACGACTCACAGCGTGACATCTAAAAGAGATGTCCAACTGAGATATCGACCAATAAAGGCACATACGACGAGACCCGACGCGGAGAAAACAGAGAACAACGAACACAACCAACATAGCGAACCGTCCAAGCTAATTACGCTACATAAAATCGAATATCATAGGTCCGTTAGCTTTGAAGTATGAAAGCGGATTCACCTTGTACGATCGTAATAGATTAATGATACGGTTTGGTGTTTACGAAACGCTGAAGAGGTCGCCGTGGTCCGGCCACCCGCGTGCGAGAGGGACTGGCCGACAGAGAGGCCCGAATAATCGACAGAGGCGCCACCGACTCGCCGCGGGGCGGCGCCAGCGTCGGCCCCACACACGTCTTATTGAGAAATTCCCAAGATGATGCATAATTCTCCTTTTTCGTTCCCCGTGTAGTTATTTTACTCCCTGTTAACAATATTACCATTTCGGTGACCGCGCGCAGACGCATATTTTATCAGCCAGCTCCAACGTTTAGTGAGGACTGGAATGACTACACACTGATTTATATATGACATATACATGGATACCTTTACTTTATTCAGGGAGTTAACAATTATATGAAGAATTTATTCGTATGGATACAATAGATCATATATTTTAATTACTATTTGTACTGTCCGAGATAATACAGATTTATAAAACATTTTCTTAATTGGAATAAGTTCGGAGACAGATAAGAGATAAAATAAGATAATGAGCAAAACTTTTGTGTTTTCGTCTAAACTTTTTATTATTAGATTGTCTTTGGTTTTGCGAATAATAGAAGACAAACTTCGTTATCATCTTACTAAGTGAACAATATTCTCATCAATGAGGCGATATTTACTGATATTAATCAATAAATTGTACCAAAAATATTAGATACATTATTTTATAAGTAGGTATATAATTTATTTAAACTAATTATAAGTCACATTATGACGTAGATGTCGCGTGGGGTGGCTTGTTAAGCGTCAAAAATCTCAATTACAATGAGTCCGAATGCTTGCAACGGTCAGCTGTTAAAACAGCAATCACGTCTTATCTGACAGTTATGCTAATAAGACATGCTAATTCCCAAAACCAACAAGCGATGAACAAAAGGGGCCAGCATCGTTCAAAAACGTACAAAACCAAGATAGCCAGACGGCGCCAAGGGGCAATTATGGTCTAAGGCCCGAACCGACTGCGCGATGCGAGGAATGCTTTCTACAAGCTATTTTTTAAGCGCCCTACATTTTTCGCATTTATATTTTGACTTCTTAGAAAAATAAAACATGATTTCATCGTATATCTTTTAGCGGAAAAACTGATTCTAGTTACAACAGTATTCTACATTTATTTTAAAAAAATGATTAGTGTGCAATAAAAGTCTTATTGCACACTAATTATTATAAATAAATTAAGTATTTTAGTAGATACTCAAAAATCAGCTGGCTTAAACGGTTTTTTTTAACTAAATTCAAGAATATACGCAATATTAATCTTTAAATAAAAAATACCATGCTTTCGCCAATAAAATATTTATATATAATTATTAATTGAAAATTAATTTCAAATGTAATTTATCAATGAACCAACTTTAAGCATCATTCGTAAGCGTATTTTAATATTAATTTCTGTTTATGGTAAGATTTAAATACTGATATATTTATCAATTTACAATTCAATACATTTTTTACCTTTTGCCGGCTATTTTTATAATTATTATTAATTAATAATCATTAATTTGAGAAGTGTAATGAATTTTAAATGTGAAATGCTTCCAGGGAGGTAAGATAATGCTTTTTTCATACACTTTTGGGCTACCACATAAAATGCGACGTTTTTTCATTTATCCAACATCTTATTCAGCTGTGACCTGTATTAAAGATCAGTTAATTTCATTACCTTAACAAAGTAAACTTACATAGACCAACAACGTTTCACTATCTCTAAGGCTAGTAACCGCAAGTATCGGCTAGCTAATCCCGTAACACAAGCAGGGCGTAACACAGCCGACCAATGGCAGGCTGGGGATCTTTGTCACCCCCAGATAACAAATTACTAGATATTTAGTGTTTTGTAAATCTTGTTTTGTCGGCTCCAAAGAGGGTTACAGATGTGATGCCATCAATCGCTGAATACAATATCATCCCTACTCTAAGCTATCAACATTTTTTGATCCTAATATGTTAAAAATATAACCAACGAAATTTCAGAAATAAACCAATCAAACAATTTCATAGACACGTTTGTTGAATAACACGGAATTTCGGAGAATTTTTCCATTTGATTCGGTTACGTAACAAAAATGTAAATAAACAT